TCACAAAGTTATTATTCCCGAGAAGGAAAAAAGACAGGCACCCTCTCTTTGTCCATCTTTTTGTTCTTTCCAGGGAAAACAGGAGGAGGGATTGGTTTTGAGTATCAAAATTATGTGTGGGAGACAGAAGGATTAACCTTCATGTCTCCCCACATCCCAATCAAGAGACTGTGTGGAACTTCTAAGCCTTTTAAAAAAAAAAACTGGGAAGATGCAGTCAGGAATCTTCTGGTGTCTGGGCTTGGTTATGCAATGTAGCTGGATTTATAAAAAAATTAGAGACTTTACCCAAGAACTGCAGAAAGTTTTTTTAAAAGGCTTGCCAGCAAGTTACTAAATAAATAAGCGCAGACTGGCTGACTTTTATCAGAGTCACTTTCAGCCTTAGTCAGAAAAAGAAACATGCAGAACTGAAGGTGGATGTCAGCTCAGATGGTAAATATTCAGCCCAGGGCCGGCTTGCCCACTAGGCAAACTAGGTGCTCGCCTAGGGCGCGCCGGCCCTCAGGAGCGCCAAACTGCACCCCACCCCCGCGCGCCAAAAAGCCGCTGCTGCCCTGCGGGCCACGGCCAGACCGCAAGCGCACCTAGCCTCACTCAGTGGCTCGGCCTGGCTCCGGCGCCCAGGCAGCGCAAGGCTCTGGAGCGCGGGGGGCGGCGTGCCTGCAGCCTGGGGGGGGAAGGCGGTGCAACCAGCAGGGCTGCGGGGGACGGCGTTCTCCTGGCTGCGGTGCGCGTTCCGCGGAGCCCTGTCCAGCGCCACAGCCTGGAGGCCCCTTCTCCCCGCTCGGCGCCCCTCCACACGTGCCCGAGCAAGCCCCGGTGGCGAGGGTGCGTTGCCATGGCAGCGGTGGGACCAGCCACCGCCTCCTCCTCCTTGCGGCGAGCGCGGAGCGGGCAGCGGTGGCACTGCAGGGGTGAGCATTCCGGATGGGCTGTCGGGGCAGGGCGGGGCGAGGCTCCCTTTGTGCACAGCCCCAGCAGCTGGTGGCGCTGGCCGAAGAAGGCTTGGGGTCCCTTCCCCACATGGCAGGAGCCGGAGAGAGGGTGACTCGTGCTGGGGCACATGCACGCCTCTTTCGCTCTCTCCCTCCTCCCCATGCCCACCAGCTTTGCCCGGGAGCGCCCCGGAGGGCAAAGGGACCCGACTGTCTGAAGGATTGCCCGGCTGGCGACCTGAGCTGAGGGAAGTGAGGCCACATGGCAGCCAGGCGTCGCCGCCTCCGTCCGATCTGGGCGCACACGGCGGCCCCTGAGCGAGCTGGCAGGAAGCGAGCCCCCCCTTCAGGGTATAGGGTATAAATCCAATCTCCTCCTCCTCTTCCTCTTTCTAATATTGCTAGGTTCATAAACATGATCCTTCATTTTTATTTTTAATTGCAAAGGTTTGTGATAAATGTTTGTTGTATCGAAAACCGTTTCACAGACACCTCAAATGTTTCCTCCCCCCCTCTGTACTTTGGAAGCAAGTTCGCGTTCCTGTTTGCCTGCTGAGCCAGAAGGGGCCCATCATGGACTGATTTGACCCCCTGGCCCCTCCCCATGAGAAAGGGGTCCACACATACAGGCACCCCTGGGCCGCTCTCCTCTGCTTTCTTTGAACGCTTTCAGTAAAAAAAAAAAAACTATCTTCACACACGAGATGGCTGCTTCTCCCTGGAGACTGATGACGCTGCCCAAGGTTGAATTCTCATTGGTGCTCCCCCATGCCTGGCCACCGCCCACTCCCCAGGATTTAAGAGGCAAAAGCTCTCCCGCCCCTCCCCTGCAGGGAACAGACAAAAGTACGCACCCAAAGCTGTCAGTGGAGTTTCTGTGGGGGGGCAGCCATGGGGCCCGGCCTGATCCTGCTGGAGATGCTGTTGGTGCTACTGATGCTGGGGCCACCTCTGGTCACTGGAACCGAAAGGAGACTCCGCACCCCTCCCGGGAGGCAGCGGGAGCTCTTTTTTTGGGAGGGGGGAGGGATTTGGGGGGGTGAGAGACTGTTGGTTCTGATGGGGCCGTCCCTGGTCCATGGAATGAAAGGAAAGATGAAATGGAGTGGAGTGGGGGTGGGTGGGAGAGATGAGCCCCACCCTCTCGCAGTGGGAGGGAGGACCCTCTTTCTGACCTTGGGCGAGGGGATTTCAGATTCCTTCCTGTTGCCCTGTCCGGTACTTGATATACTTCATTTATCCCCCCCACCCGTTCCTCCCCAGAGGGGACCCCTAACTTGGCTTTGCATGGCTCTCCCCCTCCTCCTCACAGTGAATCAGACCCTCAGTCCATCAGAGGTAGTTTTGTCTTCTCTTAGACTGGTGGGGGCTCTCCAGGGTCTTTCCCCTCCCCTCCCGCCTGACCTTTTGAGCAGGAGATGCCGGGGATCGAACCCGGGACCTTCTGCATGCCGAGCAGATGATGAAGCAGGAGACCAGTTTTTTATATCCTGCTTTCCTGTGGTTATTCACGAAGAGCATTTTGCAGATGGCCCAAAGACACCCCCCCCCCCCAATCTTATTTTTCTTTTAAAAAGTCAATTTGGTTTCAGCCTTGCTAGGGTTGCCAGCCTCCAAGTGGCTGAATCAATACAAAAACACTCCATGTATAAATTACGAACAGAAGTTTATGTTTGAAAATTGGTGGGCGTACGGGGGGGAGGGGGGCAGAAGGTAGCCTTGCCTAGTGTGCAAAAAACCCTGGAGCCGGCCCTGATTCAGCCCCAAATGAGCCTACTTTCACTGAAGAGTCTAGAGAATCATGTTCTTTTTGAAAGAAAAGAAAAGACAACGCTAGCTGTCTGCTGGATTTAATGCTATGGCTGCTGGATTTAATGCTATGACTGCTGGATTTAATCCCCACCTACCACTTCAATTTATTAATCATCTGTTAAAAAAAAAAGTTCCAACCAAGTACAGATAAATGTTATATTCTATAAACTGAATCTCAGGCAACAAGGGAGTAAAACAGCACAAGCGAACTAACTATCAGGGGACAGTCATTACCTTTGTGCCTAGTCTGGCATGCTTCTTTTGGAAACAGAAAAGTAGACTAGCTAGACAGACTTCAGTCTGATCCAGCAAAACAATTCGTACAATATTTTCTTCTTCTCAAAAAAATGTTTTAATGTATAATTTTCAAGATTTCTTACAAATCAATAATGAAACATAAAATACAAACCAGAGCTAATCAGAGACTGACGTCACAGATACAAATCCCTATAACTATATTGATCCTGTTGCTACATGAAAGCCTATGTTCATGCTGGAAAGCAGCAGCACTAAAAAGAATTTTCTGGAAAGGCCCAGAGATTCTGACAGCAGCAAATGCAACAGAGCAACAGTAACAGCATAGTCCGGCTATGGCAAGATACCTTCGGCACTTCATTCTCGCTGGCCTATGGGGTGACACAACTTTCTGTCATGAAGCAGATTATTCCCTAGCACCACTAAGGGGCACAGTGTTTTACAGCATAACATAAAAGATGGGTCCCTGCCCTTATGACCATGCAGCCTATATTTCAACCTATAGGGAGAAAACAGAGGAAGCAAAGAAGAAGATGATGGAGGCCAGAGAATGAATGTACACAGGTTCTGCAGCTCCCAGCATTTTTCTACCTTAATTATCAGATTCATGGGTTCCAATACGGACCAGCATGGGAAAGGGGCTCCTACACTGTTTTCCTGGTTTGAAACATCCTGGGAGCCTTGCTGGGGAAACTTGAAGGCAAATTCCCCCAGCGGGGCAAACAGTGGTTCCCCTGGGGCCTTTTAGAACAGGAAAACAGTGTGGGGCTTAAGCTTCCCCTCAGACTCTGGTCCCAGTCCAAATCTGAGTCCCATATGCCTGTTGACTAGGTCTGAATAAAACAGTGGGAGCTGCAAACATGCACACATCTAGCTGGACACTGAGTAAGGGCTCAGAACTCAGCTGTTGGTTCATGAAAGTGATTAGTTCGGAGGAGATGCTTGAAGGAAGAGAGAGAGGTGGCATCACATGTATGATCTAGGGAAAAGTTCTAAACACAAGAGTCAACAAGAAGAAACAATGGAGATGCTTAAGAAGCAGGCTGAGGATGGTAGAGCTGAAGGGACAACAATCACAGATCACAGACAAAGCTTTATCTGAACACAAGGACAGAGATAAAGGGTATATGACAAGGATGAGAAGCTTGTGCTGGATCCAGGAGTGGCCAGGGAGCCAGGAAACGTATTTAAGGAGATCAAAATCTCTGGTATGAATGACAAAAGATGTAATGAGTTGGGCAGTAGGGTTCCAAATAGAGGTGGGAATTCTGGCATATAACAATGGAAGACCAGAGAGGGAAAGATTGCAGTAATCAAGGCAGGAGATAACTAGAGCATGTCAGGGAGACAGAAATGAAGGGCTAAATTTTCACTGTTCACTGTTTCTGTTTCACTTTTCCAAGAAAAATGAAAATGAATTAAATATGGAAAACAAAAAGAAGGACAAGTCAAAGTCAAACATATTGATCAGCATGTTGGATGGGGACATCATCAGCAGATATGAAGAAGTTCAGTCATGGGTATAATTAGAATTGCCAGGCCCCCCCCCCCGGTCCAAGCGGAGGTTCCCCCACTTTTGTGGGCTCCACCCCACCCCCAAATTCCCCAAACACGACATGATGATGTCACCCAGAAGAGACATCATCATGTTGCTGACTTTGAGCTACAACACTCTAGTTTTGGGGCAAAACTCTGTGGTAAATTTGGGCTCAACCATAAAGTTTTGTCCAAAAACAAGAGTGTCACTGCGTGATGTCAGCAACATGATGATGTCACATCCGGGTGCTATCATCATGCCCCACGTGCAAAGCACATGCAGCAGAAGATCCCGGCAAGGCCCAAAGATCCCCTCGCCAGGAAGAACGTAGAACCCGGCAACCCTAGGTATAATGTTAGTGATGGTGACATCGAAGCAGACAATGTTTTCTAACCCCACAACCCCCAGAGAATCAGAGATCCCCAATGAGACCAAGCAACAGAGATTACATTACTTACCCACTCAAAGGTCTTGATTTTCTAATTTCAAAGAATTGAGTTCCTGTGTGATTGTATCTAGGTTTTATTAAGTGAAGGCAAAATGACTGATGGGGGGAGGAATCGGATAAAATTTGAACAGGTGAGTCTAACATGATCTCATCTGACAACATAACTCAGGTACAAAAAGCTATTAATTCTAATCACAAAGTCCCATATGCAAGAAAAAGTAATTTAATCTTGATAATTGCCCATGCCTGAAGACTTTAACCCTCCTAAGCCTAGAATGAACTTTAATAATGAACTATTGGGATCCAATAGACCCAAATTTAATCATGACTTACAATTTCACTGAGATGCATTTAATACAATGTAAAAAAACCTCTGCATTTTCAATAAGATTATTTTTAATACAGGGGTACAAATATAACAGTATCTGGGATCTACAGTGACTTCAGATATTAATTTTGTGGGTGTCTCATGCACTTTTCTTTCAACTCAAAATTTCTGGGAAGTATAAGCATTTTAAAATACTGAATGATTGGCACATTCTTTTCTTAACTGCTACATCAATATAAAACAGATATTGGCTTCTTAAATGAGTTCTCACCATACTGAGGGCCCTTATGCCCTCTATCAGCTTTTACGACATGCAGCATTATATTTTATATTCATTCTCAGTGAGGTGTAACTGACTCCAACATCATTTTCAGGAGACTCTCAAAAGTCCTAAAGGAGAAGAGGTACCGGTAGAACAATCAGCCCCTTTACTGCAAGAGAATAATATGGAGGATGATGTCCCACAGGATTACAGTTTATGGGGAAATATGTTGAATCTTTTTGTTCCCCCTTTGGGGACCCTGAAAGCACAGGAGGGTTACATTTACATTATTTGGAGAGAACCACGTATTTTGAGCTGACTGAAATAGCAATATAACCGGTTACTCAGAGTGAGTAATGCGAACACATCTACTCCAGAAGTAAGTCCCAGTTTATTAAGTAGGATTTCCCCCCACGAAACTGCTTTCAGAATTGTATCCACAGTGGTTATATTCAGGGCCACCAAGATGAGGTGGCTAAGGGGACAAAATGTGGGTGAGCCCTAGTCATCCTGTGGGCCTATGAAGCCAAACAATTCCTGATATTTGCTTTTACGTGATATTTGAATTGGACCTCGGTGATGGAGAGAGAGAAATTTTTGCCAGGGGGCCTGTGGTACATCTTGACTACCCTAGTTGAATTGCTGAATTTCTGCAGAATGATTATTAATTCCCTGTCCATCAGAGTTGCCTCATCCACTCTTAAGTTCTGCCAAGGTATGCAAGGGTCGGGGGGGTGGGGGTGGAGGGAGGGGTGAGAGCTTACAGATCTACTGGAAATTCTTCATATGATTTATTGTCCATGACACTTTATAACAGCTTCATTATGTAACCAGGATGATGCTACTCATGCTGGGCTCCCCCCTATTCAACATGTGGCTAACTCAGCGGTTTACATTTGGTAGCTTTTAGATCATTCTCTGAAGGAGGACAGCAGACTTAATAACCAGACTGGTGCAGAAATGAGAGCATCTGTTTCTAGCACGGAGATGGAATCAGTAAAGTCGTCCATACACCACAATGGAAGTAAAGCATCAGGTTCATTTAGGGTTGCCACTGCAGTGTTCCCTCTAAGCTGAGTTAGTGTGAGCCAGCTCACAATTTTTTAGCCTCCAGCTCACACATTTTTGTCTTAGCTCAGGAAGGATGGCTCCAGAGCAAACTAATTTATGCAGTAACCAAATCGCTCGCTCACAACTTTAATGCCAGTAGCTCACAAAGTAGAATTTTTGCTCACAAGACTCCACAGCTTAGAGGGAGCATCGGTTGCCAGACCCTCCCTGAAGACCAGTGTGGGATGAGGGTTATTGCTTGCTATACAAATGCAGTTCACTAGAACTCCAAGTACACTGAAGTTTGTCTCCTTGATCTGCCGATGGGAATTTTTTATTGCCAAGGGGCTCCTGCAGTTTAGGCCCGAGTGGGTGGGAGAAGCAGTGGTCTGACTCAGGGTGTTCATATAAGTGGGTTGTTCCTTCCACTTGACAAGATTTGGAAAGAGCTTTTCCTGACAAGTGCTTGGGAAGAGAAAATCTAACTATGGCATCTAGCCAGGCATCCTTTCACGAGGGTAGAAGGTCTTGACAGCAAAACTCAGAGTCTGATTAGATGTGACAAAGAGAACCAACCTCTAGAAGTTTTTAGGAGATGTAGGCCATTTTATTTGGTAGGGCTTATTATGGGGTATAGGTCATAGACATTGTGTGGGGGCTATATGGAGTTTTATTGTACTCTGTACATTTTAAATTTTAATTTCTGAACTACCTTGAGCCACAAAAGGAAAGGTGGAGAATAATCATTTTAATTAATTCATTCATTGACCTTTTAACTGCAATTTATATTGATCTTCTAAAGGCAATTTACCACTGCACATAGCCATGATTCAGCTTGGGACCACACAGAATGAGTTCTAGCCTTCCACTGCTGCACAACTTCACTAACTTCAAACTGTTATTATTAATAATTTAAAGGGAAATTTTCCCCACTACATCTAGGTTGATCCACACTCAAAACAAGCCAGGTTTCCAAACCTGAAGTGAATTTTGCTAGGCAAGTAAATTTCCCTCAGAAACTGAAAATTTTCTAATCATCTTTAGTGCTGCTGTGCCCACATGAATACAGCTTCCTCTCTCCAGTCTATATCATCCTGGCTTGGTTTTCTGTAGTATTTATTTATTTACACCTTTCCCACTGAGGCTCGAGGCAGATTACACAATACAATAAATCAATACAACCAATAGGACAGGATGTCCAATAGGTACTGTAATAGAATTAGGATTGCAGAAATCTGAAACTAGCCTATGTATTAACATGAGATGCTAAACGATGCAGAAATTACAGAGTAGAATATATACAACAGACAGTACATACTATACACAGTAGTACAGTCCACAGTCCTTTCTTTTTTTTAACCAAAGTATCTTTCTGAACCATTCTATTATAGTATAGCCCAACTGTGTAAAAATGCCCTCCTGAATAATTCAGTATCAGGAGGTACCTGCTCCTCATCCCAGCACGGCAGACATTATGAGAGGCTGTGCTGCACCATACATAAAAAAGATCCCGCTTCTCTCCGCCTTTGCTCCTGCATCAGCATCAATTTGTTAACAGTACCACCTTAAGCCACATTTATCTATGCAAGTCCTGTGAAACAAGTTAATCACAGCTGTCTGAAGTCCTGGGGCTTTCGATGGAAATTAATCACACAATCAGATTCAGACATATTGGGATTAATGTTTTTCTGACCAATGAGGACGTTAGACAGAACCCATGACAGGGAGTAGGAGAGGCACAGGCTTTTCTGTAGAGGACCACTCACAGATGATGGTTGTTTCTTACAACTCTGCCATTTGACTCAGTCTCTCCTCCACAGTGTTCTTAGCCTAATGATGGATCTGCCATTTACAGTCTGGTGGCTTCAGCTCACAACAAGCTCCTGTAGTTTGCCAAGGGGTTGGGCAACAAGGATGGCTAGACTGAGTGGGAACTGGACCATGGAGCTTACGCAGTTTGTGATTTATCAACACAGAGGCCTGCAAAGCCTCATTCCAAAGACCTTGCAAGCCAGGTTCACTACTGTCAATAAAGATGAAATATCTCTTTTCAATTACATCCGCTTCAGTGTCAGTTAATGCTAATTAGGGGACCCTAAAGACCAAGAGGCATGCTCCCTGCATAGGCAGCTTTACAAATCTTCCCAAGCGCTGCAAAAGACAGCAAAAAGCACTTTTCTCCTCATTAATTTCCTACCCTCTTGTCAGGCTGATTCTTCAGTAAATCATGAACTCCCCCCCATCCCCATTTCATTAACCACTCAATAGATAAGCTCAACTCATCAGCTTTGCGTCTCTGGTCTGCTTTCCGGAAAGGATACTGCAGCATCTTCATGTAATTCTGTATTGCCTGAAGCCATTCTGGGATAGTCATGGAAGCCTTGTAGTTTGGCACGGCTGGCACTGAAGGCTGAGCACAAAGAGAGATAAATGTTTAGATGGGTTGGTGGATATTTGCTTTTGTGCCGGGGGGGGGGGGGGGAGAGTTCAATTACAGAAACCTAAATTCTCGGAAAATAGAACCACAGAATTCACGTGAATGGTACAGTCGTTACGTGATTAATCTATCAGATGCATTCAATATCAACCAAAATTTGAAATAATTTATTGAGGACTTTGACCACTGTTCAGAGAAGCATGCAGTTCTAGCTACACAGCTCCCCTCTCCTTTGATGGGAGTTGCAAAAAAGTCTTCCTTTCCCCCTCCCTCTGTTTTGAATCTCAGCAAGAGTTTTAGATGTATACAGTGCAGATTATTAATATTATTGGGGGGGGGGAGGCAAAGAAACAGAAGAAAGCTATTTTGCAAGGACACAGGGATCTGCAAGCACATAAAGGCACCCAGTGCATTGTGTTGTAAGGCAAATGCTTCAGCTAAGATGGCTGCCTCTTTCTTACACTGGGGAAAGTTCATCAGGGTTCATAGAGGGCAGGTCCATCAGTGGCTACTAGCCATGGTGACTAAAGGGAACCTCCATCTTCAGAGGCAGTAAACCTCTGAATTTCAGTGCTAGCCCAGAAGGCAGATTCGGGGGAGGCCTTCGCCTTTGTGCACAAAACAGGTCCTTCTTTAGTGGAAATACACCAACACAGTAACGGCATTAAAAGAATTTCAGACATGAAAATATACCCATCCCCAGTATAAGTGAGTGGACAATCCCTCCACCAACCACAGTGCTGTGGCCAGAGAACACCTCAATAACTCTCTGTTCACAGACCATGAGTGACTACTGAATGCAGCATTGCAGAAGCAGGGTTCACAGTCTCATGGCTCACCAGGCAACCAGTGCCACTGCTTGATGTCTCTCTCAGTGCTCCTGGCTTGTCTATTCTTGGCTCACTTTCAAGGAAAAGAACTTATGTCACACAGTTGCCTCGGCACATTGACAGCATCACAACTACACCCTCAAAATCATTGGTCTGGATGAAGTATTAGGTCTGCTGTGACAGTGATTTGTGATCTCGTGTTGTCTCAAGGGTAAGGTAAAGGTAAAGGTTTCCCTTGCTCGAAAGCCAGTCAAATCCAACTCTGGGGATGTGGTGCTCATCTCCGTTTCAAAGCCGAAGAGCCAACACTGTCCAAAGATGTTTCTGTGGTCATGTGGCTGGCATGACTAGACGCCAAGGCACACGGAACGCTGTTACCTTCCCACCAAAGTGGTACCTATTTATATACTTGCAATTTTTTGCTTTCGAACTGCTAGGTTGGCAGGAGCTGGGACCAGAGATGGGAGCTCACTCTGTCATGCAGCACTTGGGTCTCGAACTGCTGAACTACCACTTGACCCATCTGCAGTTCAGCGTCTTAACCACTTGAGCCACCGCAGTCCTTCATGTCTCAAGGGTACTCAGGTTCAAACTTACCTTGCTCAGGGCCGGCCTGAGGTGTTTCTGCGCCCTAGGTGAGGCCAGCTTGTGGCGCCCACAAGCAATGCCAACCTCCCGGTGGGGCCTGGAGACCTCCCAGAAACACGCCTGGGGGGGGCACTGGGCGCAACAAGCTAGCCTCGCCCCTGCCCGGGTCGGGCCCAGCCAGGCCACCCTTCCCACTGGGCGACAGGACTGGCGGGGGCTTCAGCTAGGGAGCCAGGAGGAGGCGGTGGCTCTTTCATCCACTGGGGTGGGGGGGAGGGGGTAGTGCTCCGCCCTGGGCAGTGCTGGCTGAAGCGCTTCAGGGTCCCGACGTGGTGGGTGGGCCTGGAGGGCCCCAGTGGCCGGCACCATCTCCTCCCATTGATCTTGGCAGCTCCGCAGGGCCGGCTCTGGACTCCACGGCAGCGGGGGGGGCAAGGTCCAGACCGCGGCTACTCCCGTGCTGCTTAGCCCAGTGGCCGGCCAGTCGGCCCACAGCGAACCCCCTCCCTTGGTCCCCAGCCCTGGGGAAACCCAACGAGGGAGGGAGGGAGGGAGGGTCCCCCCCGCCTCCTTCCCCACCACAACAAGTCTCTGTTCTCCACAGCCCGGGGAAGCCAGCCGGGACTCACCCCGGCGGCCTTTCCCCCTCCTCCTCTTCCGGACGGTGCGCCCGCCAAGCCCTCCTCCTCCGTCCTGGAGGTTCTTGGAGCCGGGGCACAGCAGTATCAGCAGCAGGGGCGCAACCCGCCTTCGTCAGCCCCTTTTGCGCCCCCCACGCGGCTGGGAGCAGCAATGGCTGGTAGCCGGGAGAGCTGTGCAGGGCGGAGCCACGGGAAGGAAGGGGCGCGTTGTGGGCGCCCAGAAAGCCATGCTGGGGGCGGGCGGGCGGGCGGCGTCTGCGCCCTAGGCCAGATACTAGTAGGCCTAGTGAGAGAGCCGGCCCTGACCTTGCTCACACTTTGCTTCAGAGAGGATGCTGTTTGGCTAAATGATTACATTTGTATTCCAGCCTTCAATCCAACATTCATTTAAGAGTTTTGTGGGGAAAGGTAAACTGATAGGGCTGCAGGCTCTGGGTTGGAAAATACCTGGAGATTTGGGGGGTAGAGCCAGGAGAGGGCAGGATTTGGGGAGGGACCTCAGCATGGTACAATGCTAGAGAGTCCACCCTCCAAAAGAGCCATTTTATCTGGGGGAACTGATCTCTGTAACCTGAAAATAAGTTGTAAAAGCAGGAGATCTCCAGGTACCACCTGGAGGTTGGCAAACATATAAACTGAGGTGGGAGTAATTGGACCAAGGTGAACAGGGAGTTAAACCCAGGACATTTATTGTGTTGTTCCTTCCACCCACAAACAGGAAGCACATGCAGCCCAATCGTTTCTTGTTTCTAGACTTAAGTCTCACAGGGCTCTGGCATGACTCTCTCCCAGGTAAGTGCACACAGAATTCCAGCCTTACCAACAATCACATGCAAAGCCTGCTGGGACCAGCTTGGTCCAAGTTATTTATTTATTTGTGAAAAGTACTCAGAACGTGGAGTGATTCAGCAAGAGTGATTCAGCAAGAGTACTTTATTAGATCCGGAACAAGACCAAGGAAACCCGCTCACAGGCCGGTTTATATGCGTTCAGAAAGCCCGCCACCAAGTACACCTAAACACACCCCCTACTCCCGATAGGCTATTTACAATAACCGGGCGACCATTGGTCTCCTGGCTGGGAAGCTAGCCCTTTGATTGGGCCGGCTAGGATCCTTCGGATCCTTTGTCTATCGACTGAAGCTACAGATGAATTGTGCCTGGCCAGCCCGGGCAAGTCCGGGCATGTCAGGCTGATGCCTTACACGTGGAAAGGCGGCAGTACATTACACAGGGAAGCTAGCCCTTTGATTGGGCCGGCTAGGATCCTTCGGATCCTTTGTCTATCGACTGAAGCTACAGATGAATTGTGCCTGGCCAGCCCGGGCAAGTCCGGGCATGTCAGGCTGATGCCTTACACGTGGAAAGGCAGCAGTACATTACACCCCTCCCCCCATAGTCCAAACTGCCCACATACAAAGTCCTGGAGGTATGCGGGAGACTTCCTGGACCTTGTGGAACGGCGGAGTTCCGGGGTGCTGCTTGGGGCTGCTCCTTGTGGCCGTGGCGGGGCGGTTG